CATGCAAACATGGCAGCGATCAAAATCAGTTCTTGAATCGATGCAAATGGGGGCTAGCATGCCTTATCAGGAGTAACACTAAGTCTTGTCATTAGTACTTGAGCTACTGGTCACTATTTAGCTGGACATTCACCTTAGTGCATTCGCGGGGTAATTGTTCAGTTATGTATAACGTAATGAAATAGGTTCCCTTTGTCAGACAATAGTCACGTGGTACAGCACGGGATGGCCATGTCATCTGAAGGGATGGAGCTGTTGATATGCGTGAAAGTCCGCCTGTATCGCGTTAATGGATGTAATCACGTCCCATGCTAATACCAGATCGTGGATACATATCTGTGACGACTTATTACTACGTTTGGGGAATTGGAATGAATATGTGGTCTGTATTAACAACGTCTTGAAGCCTCTCTGTATTTCGTGTTCGTTCCTGGAGTGTAAGTGAGTGAGTGTGTGTATGTGTGTGTGGGTGTGTGTGTGTGTGTGTGTGTGTGTGTGTGTGGGTGGGGGTGGGTGGGGGGGTGGGGGGTGGGGGGATGGGGGATGGGGTGGGGGTGATTAACTAGGAAGAGCCACGAACTTTTCGGATGCTGCATGTGTGACCTCACTGTTTACTTTCTATTCGGATTAGCGTGACTTTCAGTGTGTTTGTGATTTCCCAGGATTTTAGAGGCTGCACTAAACTTTCAATTGGCTATCCGTATGATTTGTTAACATGACCATTTACAACTACGAATGTATTTCCGCATGGTACATTAAGTAAGGTTAGAACTGAGTACGAGTATTTCAGTCACCCCAAGCCAACTTGACGCAGATGAATCCCACGAGCTCTGATCATACGAATCATTTCAGGATTAGACACCACAAGCAATCTGTTGTGTCACCTGGGAGATGCTTGATGAACCACAGGCCACGTAGTCACCCATGCCCAATACGTGGTTCAGAAAAATAGCACTATATGTTATTGATCGCGAACCAGCCTTATGAATATACTGAATATCTCCACCGAAGGATCGGAAGCACTTCGCCATTGCAGACACGTAGGATATCTTATCTCATCAAATACCCATCAAACTTGGAACAAGGAAGAGCTTCTCTAGTCAGACGAGCACATGCCACAGCCAGACGCCGCAACGCAAATGAAGCCTTTCTTGACCATTGTCCATTAGAACCAATCAACTCGGCTCAGACATGTGCTATCGAATGTCTCTATTAACACGCCTGTGCATGTGACCGTCTCGCTTTCCCCAGATGAGGAGGAAGCAATGGCGGATCCAGTTGTTGCGATGGAGACTCATGTTTAAGTAACGAATCACGTTACGATGAGACAACTTGAGCCTCTCACGAAGGCTACATCCTTACTTTAACATATATAGATTTTGCTGATGACTGACATGGGCATTATTTCAACTCCTCGAAATAGGTGTTCGTGATGTCCCTTGGTTCTGTATGGCGCATGTATTCAATTACTGTCAGGATGAATTACTGCTCAAAGATATATTTTTTTCAAGATGTCGATTCTTTGCGGTTGTGCCTGTCCTGCTTGTTTTGCGCAGTCTCTTTCATGTAACTTATTTGTTTGTTCTCGGCAATATTAGAGCTATATAGCATGGCTGTCTGTAAATAAACGAGTCTGGACCAGACAAGCCAGTGATTGACATCATGAGTATCGATTGGGAAACGATTTTCATGCATCAACCCAAGTCAGTGAGCCTGACAACCCAATCTCTGTCTCGCCTCTTACTGCAAGCAGGATTGTTGGGTTGCGGAAGATCAATTCTAACATGGATCTTCACGGGGTATTATGTAACTAATTACCGTTCTTGTCACGATGTGGGACGAGAGCTCTGGACGCATCAAACAGGAATATATGAACTCAGGGATTCTGGTACATGTTCAATATGAGGTCAAGGGCAATCAGTTACTTCCATATCTTTCCCCTGTTTCAGTCATCTAGGTTTGAGTGGAATCAAACGATCCAAACTATCGAGTTCAAGAACTTTATTTGGAGGTTATTAAAACATAAAAATGGAGGTTACCATAATGACGAACCTGCATGTATCGAATAATAAAATACTTACAGTAAAACAATTTGAATGTGCAAAGACAGTGTTCTCAGTCCTCTTGCATATATCATGAGTGAATGAGTGAGTGAGTGAGTTGGGTTTAACGCCGCTTTTAACATTATTCCAGTTATATAACGGCGTGTCAGCTTAATGGGGGAGGAAAGCCCGAAGTAATGCGGGTCTCAGATGTTTACCACTTCGGTGAAACCTACGAGCACAGGTATGGTGCTGACAAACCTAGAAACATAATTGGGGCGAACCGGGATTCGAACCCACAATCATAGGTGTCTGGCGTGCCCAAGGGACGCAACTCTGCACAGCGAATCGCGCCTTAGACGACTGCCCCCCCCCTGCCCCTGCATATATCATGACTTTTACTGCCAATTATATATATCCTAAATTAGTGAATGACATTTTCAACAGTATTTCAGTTATATCACCGCGTGATAACGTGGGAGGAAAGTCCGAAGTTCAAGGTCTAAAATGTTTACCACGTTGGTGAAACCTTTGAACACAGATATGATTCTGGCAACAAATGATCATGAAGAAACATGAAATTCGAACCCACAATCAGAAAATCCTGTCTCTCCGAAGGGAAGCAACTCTGCAGTTCACATTGAGGCGCCTTAGTCAACTGGCACAGCCCTTCCCTGTTTATCCTACATGCAACGTGATGAAAGTATCTTTATCTTTATATATGCGATTTAGTAGCGTGACTGATACATCATGGTCCTGAATGAGCAACTGCGTGAGACGCCCATCATCAATATCAATGGCAATATTTCCTTCTCAGCATGACGGACAGTGGGAGCAGGAACTATTGCACTATAATAGTCATTGATCGAAGACTGGCACAGCATCGTGGCATAAGGATCACCCACGACGTCTAGGTGGAAGCACTGGATAACTGATGATGGAATATATGAATATGTCACGGGGAATACCCCGCCAAAGCGGACAACGCCGTGGCGTATGCCACTTATATACGTAGATCTTATCTCTAGGGAGAGCTGACATGGGTTTAATGTCACCTTCAAGATTATTGCTCGTATATGAATACCTAGACGTAGGCATAAACAAGCCAGCAGGCTGAAATCTGAGGATATATACGCTCTTTGATTTTCTGGCCTCTATAACACATGAAAATCATCATGTTCATCTTCATTATCATCATTATCATCATCATCATCATCATCATTATTATTATTATTATTATTATTATTATTATTATTATTATTATAATAATTATTCATTTATTTTGTTTAAAATATTTTTTTAATATATATTTTAATTATCATTATTATTATTATTATTATTCGTAGCTACGATTTTGCGTATTATTAATTTTCTGGGATACGTTTAACGTTTGAACTAAATCGTCCGGATTTTCACATTTATGGATTAATCAAACAGTGAAGAGAGTAATAAACCTGGTGTTTACACGAACGCTCTTACGATTGAATCGGCGGAAAGCGTGACCGGACAAAGTAGTTCCGGACATTTTTCTACTTATTGGCCATACAGCCGTATCGACCTTCCGACATGAGCTGGTATTGTAGCTTGCCCTGCGTTGACATCCCCTGGCCTCCTAGCATGTTGAGATGTGGATGATGGTCAATCTCGTTGATGTTTCCGCTCCACCTCATCCTCCTGATGGGGATCGTTAAAGTAGGGGTATTGCTGTTTGGTGACGTAGGATTCCCCTTGGCGCTTAATGAAGTACCTCAGAGGTAATATTTCCCACTGATGCCTCTTTCAGTTCAACGAGACATGTTTTCAAGCGGGCTCTGGTCGCCGGTTCTCCGTGCAATGGTAATGGTCAGTGGTGACATGGGATTCCCACTGGTGCTTAGTGAAGTACCTCGTAGGTTGTATTCCCGCTGATGCCTCTTTCAATTCAACAATACATGTTTACAAGCGGTCTCAGCTAGCTGGTTAAGCATGGTCTACATAGTTAGCTTTACTTTGCTGTTGTTTTTATGAATGATTTGGTTGGTTGGTTGGTTTGTTGTTTTACGCCGCACTCAGCAATATTCCAGCTATATGACGGCGGTCTGTAAATAATCGAGTCTGGACCAGACAATCCAGTGACTAATGTCATGAGCATCACATGCATCAAACCAAGTCAGCGAGCCTGACCACCCGATCCCGGTAGTCGCCTTTTACGGCAAGCATGGGTTGCTGAAGATCTATTTTCCCCCGGAATCTTTTATGAATGAGGACATGGTTGATAAAGTATTACGGCAATATTCACGTCATTGTGAATAATCATCTATATATGATTACACAAGTGTAAGGTAAAGATCGCTATCAATACTCTTTTATGAGTGAGTGGCATGTAACGCTGCTTTTAACAGTATTCCAGTTATATCGCAGCGTGTCGGCTTAATGTGGGAGGAAAGCCCGAAGTGATGCGGACGTTTATCACTTAGGTGAAACCGTGAGCACGAGTATGGTGCTAACAAACCTAGAAACATGATATGGGCGAACCGGGATTCTAACCCTCAATCATAGGTTCCTGGCGTGCCTAAGGGACGCAACTCTGCACAGATAATTGCGGCATATTAGACGACTTGGTCATCCGTTCCCCTCCTCTGTTATGATCTAATGGAAAGCATATAGCTAAGGCTGCGGCTACAGAAGATTGAAGGGAACAGTTCATCACTGAACCCACATTTATTTTATGAATCAGTCCAGGTGAGCTTAACATGCACACGATATCAATATTTGATCTTGTGCGGCGTCGGTGGGGAAACACAATCGATGTTAATGGTATAAATTGAACACCAATAATCAGATCTTGTTTTGACAAGCCTGTAACCCGTAGCTCTTTCAGACGAAAAACAGCAGCGCACTTGCGAAGCAAAATATCTAGCTAGTGTCATGACAATGACGTTTCAGTCGCTTCGTTCAGTAAAACACAAGCGTACTTACCCGGCTATTTTCAAGGCACATGGCGCTGATTGCTTCAGCTTGTCCGTACTGAAGGGCAACCTCTCCATAATGTCCATAGATATCATGGCTTCAAGTCCTTAAACCTGAATAAGGACAGTCACACAGATATACCCTCGACCTCAGGTCTCCATTTTAGTTCTCCAGACACATAGATCTCCTCACTTGCATCCAGCGATACCTACACGAAGGGACACTGTCACATCAGATTCACACAGTCTCACGTTATTGAATGTTCGACAAACGACACAGCGATAGTCAGATCTAATTGAAAATGGGATCCCTTCCGCATATGCGCAGTGTGTGTTGTGTGGGGACCGATATCGATTGGAAAGTAAGCATGGGGTCTCGTTGAGTTTTCTCAAATTATCCGCCTTTGTGAAAGGTTTCTGTAGTTATAGTAATGAACATCTGTCTCCATGGAACGATCCCTATGTCGAAAGACAGCCTTGTCTTCGCATGAACACGATTGAAGCTGATATGTGACATTGCTATAACAATGGGAATAGTTATAATCAACTCTATTCATTTAACAAGATGACTTGTTGGGGCATGGCCGTCTAGTACATAACGGCGTTTAAGAAATTGTCAAGAAATCCCAATGGGAATTGAAGAAAGTGTTTGGACAAAGACAGGTTCAAGGATTCTTTAGGGCTCAGAGGTTCTCAATAAGTTAAGAAATGAGCAGAGCGTGTAGAAATTGTTATGGATGTAATCAAATGATTTTATATAAATGGGAGGATTACATGGACTTTGTGCATTTCTTATATAGGTGAGACTAACATAATAACACGCCCATTTATAATGCACCGTTTTCCACATAAAATCGTATGGTTATAGAATCCACTATTACCCCAGTGCGTGATTTTTTTCAATTCTCAGCTCCCTCGGGTATTTACTATGTGTCTGCACTCGAGTTCTAGTCTTCATTCCCTGGGGAGTGTAATATCCAGGCAGCCTGTGAGGCTGTAGAAAGTCTCCTACCTGGTACCCATTGACTGCTGAAAGACCAGAGGCATATTTCGAACAAATCCACCTGCCTGTGGAGACAGCAAGTATGACATGAGCTTCAGTGTGGTGTAGAATCTTTTAGGAGTTCAACTGTCGAACATGTCACCCATCCTCGACTCACCGCGATCAGCGCTGCTTCACTTCGCCTGAGTGGAGACCTGCACGCTGTGGAGACCTGTACACTGTGGAGACCTGCACGATGTGGAGACCTGCACAGAGCACACTGTGGAGACCTGCACAGAGCACACTGTGGAGACCTGCACGATGTGGAGACCTGCACGATGTGGAGACCTGCACGATGTGGAGACCTGCACAGAGCACACTGTGGAGACCTGCACAGAGCACACTGTGGAGACCTGCACGCTGTGGAGACCTGCACACTGTGGAGACCTGCACGCTGTGGTGACCTGCACGATGTGGAGACCTGCACGATGTGGAGACCTGCACGATGTGGAGACCTGCACGATGTGGAGACCTGCACGATGTGGAGACCTGTATGATGTGGAGACCTGCACGATATGGTGACCTGCACACTGTGGAGACCTGCACGCTGTGGAGACCTGCACGCTGTGGAGACCTGCACGATGTGGAGACCTGCACGATGTGGAGACCTGCACGATGTGGAGACCTGCACGCTGTGGAGACCTGCACGATGTGGTGACCTGCACGCTGTGGAGACCTGCACGATGTGGAGACCTGCACGCTGTGGAGACCTGCACGATGTGGAGACCTGCACGCCGTGGAGACCTGCACGCTGTACTCTGGGTCGATGTGACACGAGATAAAGGTTATGCAAACACACGGTTCAATATTCATCACGGAATTGCTCCTTGCCAAATTTCTTCAAGAAGTTGAAAAATTAAGCCTTTTAACTCATTTTCGCCATTCTTATGTGTTTGATCCTGTAGGAAGCCACACTCTTGTGGGCGTTAGAAAGGAAAAAGGCTTGTTGATCAGTCATCTGAACATGTCTGTTAAATTTCACACACATATTTCAAGGTTTCCAGTAACTTTCAAATTGGCGTTTCAAGTGGGCCAAACAGACTCTGAGATGAAAGCCAGGTTTATTAAAGTCATGTACTACAAATACATCTTGTAACTCCGTGTCCATAGAGGGGATTGAATACCTTGATAAAGGTTTTGAAATACATTCATGTTGGGTTTGGTATTTGGTTTTATGATGTCATTTGGTTAAATACGAAGTCCTTATTTTAGCCCCGTAATGCCGGGTGCCAGGCAGGGTAACAACAAGTACCATTTTTAAACGTCTTTTGGTATGATGCGGCCAGGAGATGAAACTCCCGACCTTTTGCTCCCAAGGGATAAAAAACCCGAACAGTTAGAGTATTAATATAGTAAGTATGTATCTGCTGGGCTGCAGATGCGCATGCGCTCCCAGGCACGGTCGCAGCTGTGTATAAAACCACAGTCATCCTGTTTAGTCGACAGTAGAGTGTCTTGCTAACATTTGACACGGCTTTAAGCAATAATCCAGCAATATCACGTATGTCACGGCAGGATGTGATAGGAATGAAACAGGGGCCTTTGGTGAGATGGATTCTGACGAACGCTTTATCCACGTAGCAACGTCTACCCTTCGTCCATTTCGAATACCAGAACAAAGAACGATATGGACACTGTGTGTTCGTTGTGTTACTCTACTCTCGGCACTCTTCCAGCTGTATGAGGGCGACCTGGCAATACTCGAGTCTGGAACAAACAAACCAGTGATTGATATTGTGAGCAACGGTCCATGCCGTCAGGGTACGATGAAACGCGATCAACCAGGTCACCGAGCCCGACCACCCGACCCCTTAAAAGCGCCCCATAGGTTGTTTGGAACCTATTCTAAGCCTATATCCCCACGGGGTTCTCAAACAATTACATTTCACTCAACACACACGTTGAAGGGACTCAGGTGTCACAAACGTATGCTGTTAATGTCGATAAGATCAAAGAGTATCTCAGAATTCGCTGTTCTCAGCACGTACTGGTCGATTAAATAAAGTCTGAGGTCTAATATGTTCAATTCTTGGACATTGATTCTGTGTGAGACTATCCTAAGTTTAAATTAAATCCAGATTTGATTTAACTTCATGTCAACATTATGACAACATAACGTTGTAATGGAGAAAGTGGTTACCCTTTGCGCCAGTGCGTTCTCCATCTTACGCCCAGGCTGGAGCAATGTTCCACTATGACGTACACATACACCTGCTTATAAACTGACGGGCATACCAAAGCATACACTGATTTTTAATGGTGGCTAAAATGAAACAAACAACAAATGGTTATTGATGGCGATATACGTACAACGGGTAAACAGAGATGTGTTTTCGCCTTCATTTTGCAGTGTTTCGATGACAAGGTTTGATAACGTTTGTTATTTGGTAAAAAATATACAAAATATATAATTTTATACTTTCTTTTGTCCGGCAGTTTATGTAGATTAAGTAGAGATGTTTTACAAAGATTTCTATGAGGCAAAGAAATGCATTCTTAATATTTTTCAACGGTGGTGATGTTTCCTAACATTGTCAATACTCTAGGAGTGAGTGGGTTTAACGCCGCTTTTAACAGTATTCCAGTTATATCGCGGCGTGTCAGCTTAATGTGGGAAGAAAGCCCGAAGTGATGCAGGTCTCAGACGTTTACCACTTCGGTGAAACCCACGAGCGCGGGTGTGGTGCTGACAAACCTAATAACATAATCGGGTCGAACCGGGATTCGAACCCACAATCATAGGTTTCTGGCGTGTCCAAGGGACGCAACTCTGCACAGCGAATCGCGGCGCCTTAGACGACTGAGCCACCCGTGCCCCCCATTACTCTAGGAACATGGACACATCGAAAAACGCTTTTCTATACAACGATACAGGTATATTAGGATGATAAGCAAAATCCAACCTTCTTGGAATGAAACTAGATCAATGAAAACTCTTCGATAAAATAAAGTCTCGGAGGTTTTCAATTTTAATTGACTTGTATAAATGTATTACCAAGCAATAACCGTAAGTTGTCTCCTTATTCTTTAGCAAATGATCTACTTGCGTTTCTTTGTCCTTTGAAGTTGGATTGACTTTAAGTAAAAATGGTATTCAAAAGTCTTAATATTCAGCGTCTTAGAAGTATCAAATTCTCATTCAATTTAACCTCCAGGAATTATTGCGTTCATCCAGTTGACATTCCAGTAATAATAACCTTCCTCTCGCTCGTTATGGCTTTGGGGATAAGGATAGCAATTTACCTCCACCGTTCTCTCCAGAAGTCGACGGTGCTTTGGGGAAAGATAGGTCGTCAATCTGCCTCCAATCGATTCCGAAGCCTACTAGCACTCTCATTGTTGTTTCCGAAACAAAAGCTGTTGAGTCAACATGCCTTATTCCTTTTGGGATCAGTGAACGACCACAATGACAAATGCACATAATCATCATTTGATTTAATTACAGCATTTGGAATATTATTGTACAGTGAACTCTGTCTAAGCTGGCTTTTGTCTAATCCGACACCCTGTCTAAACCGGCATTGGGGTTTATTCCGGCAGAGTGTAGTGGTAATATCATTAAATAATCATGTTTAATCCGACATTTGTCTGTTCCGGATTCCGGGGTACAAGATCATGTTTTTTTATATCTCGGTGCTACATTGTACATTTATCTATGAGCGAGTTAGTGTGTATTGTTTTACGCCGCTTTGAGCAATATTCCAGTAATAGTGAGTGCACGAGTTGGGTTTAATTCCGTTTAACTGTATTCAAGTAAAATCACGGCGTGTCAGCTTGATGTGGGAGGAGAACCCGAAGTGATGCAGGTCTTCCAGTTATATCACGGCGTGTCAGCTTGATGTGGGAGGAGAACCCGAAGTGATGCAGGTCTTCCAGTTATATCACGGCGTGTCAGCTTTATGTGGGAGGAGAACCCGATGTGATGCCGGTCTTCCAGTTACATCACGGCGTGTCAGCTTGTTGTGGTAGGAGAGCCCGAAGTGATGCCGGTCTTCCAGTTATATCACGGCGTGTCAGCTTGATGTGGGAGGAAAGCCCGACGTTATGCTAGTCTTCCAGTAATATCACGGCGTGTCAGCTTGATGTGAGAGGAGAACCCGAAGTGATGCCGGTCTTCCAGTAATATCACGGCGTGTCAGTTTGATGTGGTAGTATACCCCGATGTGATGCCGGTCTTCCAGTTATATACCGGCGTGTCAGCTTGATGTGGGATGATACCCCGAAGTGATGCCGGTCTTCCAGTAATATCACGGCGGGTCAGCTTGATTATTGGGAGGAGAACCCGATGTGATGCCGGTCTTCCAGTTATATACCGGCGTGTCAGTTTGATGTGGTAGTATACCCCGATGTGATGCCGGTCTTCCAGTTATATACCGGCGTGTCAGTTTGATGTGGTAGTATACCCCGATGTGATGCCGGTCTTCCAGTTATATCACGGCGTGTCAGCTTGATGTGGGAGGAGAGCCCGACGTTATGCTAGTCTTCCAGTAATATCACGGCGTGTCAGCTTGATGTGAGAGGAGAACCCGAAGTGATGCCGGTCTTCCAGTAATATCACGGCGTGTCAGTTTGATGTGGTAGTATACCCCGATGTGATGCCGGTCTTGCAGTTATATACCGGCGTGTCAGTTTGATGTGGTAGGAAAACCCGAAGTGAAGCAGGTCTTCCAGTTATATCACGGCGTGTCAGCTTTATGTGGGACGAGAACCCGATGTGATGCCGGTCTTCCAGTTATATCACGGCGTGTCAGCTTGATGTGGGAGGAGAACCCGGTGTGATGTCGGTCTTCCAGTTACATCACGGCGTGTCAGCTTGTTGTGGTAGGAGAGCCCGAAGTGATGCAGGTCTTCCAGTTATATCACGGCGTGTCAGCTTGATGTGGGAGGAAAGCCCGACGTTATGCTAGTCTTCCAGTAAAATCACGGCGTGTCAGCTTGATGTGGGAGGAGAGCCCGACGTTATGCTAGTCTTCCAGTAATATCACGGCGTGTCAGCTTGATGTGAGAGGAGAACCCGAAGTGATGCCGGTCTTCCAGTAATATCACGGCGTGTCAGTTTGATGTGGTAGTATACCCCGATGTGATGCCGGTCTTCCAGGTATATACCGGCGTGTCAGTTTGATGTGGTAGGAAAACTCGAAGTGAAGCCGGTCTTCCAGTAATATAACGGCGTGTCAGCTTGATGTGGTAGTATACCCCGAAGTGATGCCGGTCTTCCAGTTATATCACTGAGGGTCAGCTTGAAGGGTTGCGTCCCTTGGGCACGCTAGAAACGTATGATTGTGGTTCGCCCCGATTATGTTATTAGGTTTGTCAGCACCATACCTGTGCTCGTTGGTTTCACCGAAGTGGTAAACGTCTGAGACCTGCATCACTTCGGGCTTTCCTCCCACATTAAGTTGACACGCCGTGATACTGTTAAAAGCGGCGTTAAATCCAACTCACTCATCTCGTGCCCGGAGAAATGAGATATTTTCACTCGTGGCGTAGCTCCGTCACTAGTTAGACTGTATATAGTAGCTTCATCTGTAGTTCACTTATCATCCTAGATTCCCTGCCTTGGTCCATCTCTGACCCGTGTCACCGCTAGGTGAATATATTATTATCACTGACTTGTGCTATCACCTCTGTATTTTCGCATTTGAAACTGACCACTGTCATCAAATTCATTGAAAATTGCACTGCCATTGTAATTGTTGTGCAGTAATTTGTACTGATTTGCAAACCTAGTTAATTTAGTAACACATTGGTGATTGTATACAATTTGTTGTTTTTTGTTGGTTTAACACTAAATTCTTTTACGTAAGGATTTATGGGTTAACATATTGTTTCAATTTGGGAATCGACACATAGCAGATCACTCATTTTCTGTGATCCCTTCGGGGTGATCGGGTAGCCTAGTGGTTAAAGCGTTCGCTCATCACGGCGAAGATCCTGATTCGATTCCCGACATGGGTACAATGTGTGAAGCCCATTACTGGTGTCCCCTGCCGTGATATTGCTGGAATATTGCTAAAAGCGGCGTAAAACCATACTCACTCACTCCGTGATCCATTCATATAATTTTCACCACTATTTACCTTTTACGCCTGAAGGAATCTGTTTCGTCAGATAATCGAGACTGCTTACTTTCTGTTGGTGACGTCGTATATATGCGCCACAGTCAGAGCGATGTCAGCTATATCACGATGGATTTGATGGTATGGATTTTACACATTGACAAGTAATTGGTTGACACAATGATCATCGCTCACGACGTTGGGTCTTGGACACCCACTCAAACACATTGTCACCACTAAATCGTCATTTCAGTCGGCTTAAGGAGACTTATGTTGGGTGTCATTGGGATCTATTCTACCGTACACTTCGACATTTCGAAAACGCTTACAGACATATTTTAGACATGACAATCTCCAAACACAGGTATGGCATGTTTTGTTTTTTCAAACACGTTTATGCGGATCAAAAACTGAGAGGCTAGGATTTCACTTCATATCAATAACACTATCGTTAGCATATAGGAACATTTAGGGCTCTACGCGCGTTTCATTATGGGTCACCTTATGCACTGAGATACAGGCTGAGGAACTACAACAGTGCGAATACACTCTCTTTTTGAGTGAGTGAGTGAGTGAGTGGATTTAACAGTATTTTAGTTATATATCATAAAGTGATAAAGAGGTACTATTCACAAGAAGTTAAGGACCGCCTGATAGTCCAAGTGATCCGTCATGACATGCCAGATGTATGTAGTCTATAGCAATATGAAAGAATAGGGCTATCCTTACGTTATTTTGAGTAGTATATGTTTACGACTTGGGTGGTATACATACGACCCGTATAGTGCTGACAAACTTAACATCGTGAGAATTGTTTCAGATCATCAGATCCTGGCACGACAAAGGGACGCAACTCTGCATTACGAATACTGGCGCCACTCTTCCCTAATGTAATATTAAAATACCATATAACTGAAACAGAAGCATAAACGTGTGCATATGCAAAAGAGAAAAAACACAAACGGTACCTTTCATATAAATAGCAACTTTAATTATTGCACTTGCATATTCGAGTTGATAATGCATAACACAGTCCTATGCTTTGTCATATGGGACTAAAAGTAATGCTCGATAATATTAACCTCTTTCAGAGATCTATCACAAAGAATGATATGGAATAGATAAGGCTATTGCTATATATCGTACACACAAGATCACATAGCGGTATAACAGAACGCCCACCTGTTCAGGGTAAATAACGTTTCCATTTCAGGAGGGATCACCAGCAACCTCTACCATCATTTCCATGATTTATACATCTAAACGGCCAAATACGTTTGTCATGGTCACATAACAAAATTGCCTGAAGCTGGTAGACTATACGCAAATTGGTTTCTGTTCATCATCAATACGTCACGGTTCAGTATACGCCGCGTTCCAGCATCACCTAAGGAATACATACGGCCGCTTTGCAGTGTTGTCGCTATTTTTAACCAACGAATCAAGCCACGGCCTGGTTTCAGCGAGAGGGAAAGTGCTCTGACCAATGAGCGTTCAGATTATATCGCACAGACGGCAGTATATCTGGTGCAATGTGTTCTGCAACCTGCTTGACATCTACTCTGCACATTGCCTCAATATAAGGCAACGGTAGGGTTCGCACAATACTATGTACGGAGTTGGGCTCATTTGACGCCCATGAGTTATACACGGCCTCATTTCATTGGTTGACTTAAAATAGACACGCGTCACTACTACATCCTATTTTAGTTGTATATTTACACTGGCGATTGACAAACGCTTTGCATACACAAACCCGTGAGGTATTGACAATGTTTTTTGTTTAGCTGAAATCGCTTCGTGCATTTGCCTTCTTCCGATCGCTAAAGGACAGACATTTAATTTCAACAATCGTCCACATGTTTAGAAAATAGTTTCGATTTTCAATCTCCTCGGTGCTTAATTCAAGGAGATGCATTGAAGTCTTTTGGCCTCATTGCTCTTGCTGGCTTGATCCTCATCAACGAACTTTTAACGTAACGACCTCCCCACTTTGTACCGCCGAAAACACCCTTGGTCGGATCCCTGTTCAGGTCTGATCCGCATCGATCCAGCCAGAATCCGGATCTGTAATGATTGGCACAGCTCTGACTGCGCCACGAGTCTCGATCATGGTCCCGAGCCGAGAACCCACGACCTTTGTTATGGCGAAGTCCGTCTCGGGTGTTTCCGCTGGTCTTGTTCGTATAGGTGAGTCTGTAATCTTCCTCCTCACTGCCGACGTCGAAGCCCGAGTAGACGGCGTAGTAGAACTTGGTGGAGCGACTCTCAAGGTCGATTCGTAGGTCAAAGGGCTCCCCCATCGTCAGCTGATGCATGATCTCCAGGCCCAGCCAGAACTCACCAGAGAAGTTGCCAAAGCCTTCAATGTAGTCGTCGTAGCTCCTGGAAAACAATACGGAGAGTGAGTGAGTGAGTGAGTGAGTTGGAATTAACGTCGCTTTGAACAGTATTCCCGTTATATCACGGCGTGTCAGCCTAATGTGGGAGGGAAGCCCAAAGTGATGCAGGTCTCTTTTACCACTTTGGTGAAACACACGAGCACGGGTATGGTACTAACAAACCTAGAAACATATTCGGGGCGAACCGGGATATTCGAACCCACGACCATAGGTTTCAGGCGTTCTCAAGGGACGCAACCCTGCACAGCGAATTGAAGCGCCTTAGACGACTGGGTCAACCGTTCCCCACACAATACCCAAATATAGGAATATTTGATATATTCCCTCCCAAAAAGCAATGCTTAATATAGTCGACATGATGTTAAAAACGCCATTGAAGCTACTCTGTGATCGGGTATGTCAATCTGGTGCGGTGGGTGGTCAAGTGGTCAAATTGGTTCACCGAACATCCGGGTATTATTCCATACATGTACTTTTCGTGAAGGTATTCTTGATATTTCCCTCAGTTATAAATACTACTTGCAGTAATTTAGGAATATATAACACATTTTTGAAACTAAATGAAATGATGAAGGGAGTGAGTGAGTGAGTGAGTTTGGTTTAACACCGTGTAACAGTATCACAGACGACATAGCGATGCTAAAGGAATTATGACTCCCATTGTGGGGCGGGTCGTACATGCTGATACGCTCTGCTTTGAATATCAAATACATATAGTTTTGTTTAGTATTCACTATTTCTTTCTTTTAATGCAATTTATTATATCTTTTGAAATCCCTGCATGTAAGCTCTCTGTTTGACCCCACGCTGTGTTGTACGGACGTTAAGAAATGATTTTTGATTTCTCCCCCAGAAATGACAGAATAAAAGTCTATATATTTAAAATGCGCAAAATCCACACCTTTACGCTTGCTTAAAATGCTACATTATTACCCCGGTCTATAGACCATGCCCTCTGTTTTTTCTCAGATGCCTTGCGATCGGAGCATACAACCCACGCTGGCTTATGAGGCTTCAGAACGGTAACAGTCACATGACCATCTCATCCTACCCGGTACCCATTAACTGCTGGGTGAACCTGAGATCATCTACTGAGATCGTATGGCTGCCTCTTCCACAAATTGTACATATTAGATTTATTTAAATGCCATTCGCATCCTGTATAGGGTACACGAGCGTATATTGCCCCGAATAAGCGAACCATGAAATTGGGTTATTCAGCCCTTTCGTTTAAGTGAGGAAGAGTTAGTTCCCTTCGTACTTCGCGACGTCACTCGGCTCGTCTCAATCCCGCAGAATATATCTCGACCAACACTTGGTGGGGTCCATATTGGAACCAACTGAGTGTACACAAACACAGTCCACCAAGGCAGCAGTCAAAATAACTGTGTGTATTTCTTCAAATCAAAGTTGAGAACTATTTTAACTCCCAAACAACCGAGACAGCGGTCTCTGGGATTAGGCGGTCAAAGTGAATTAACCGTCGTGTCTCCCACTTCGCGGGTGGCGGAATGAGACGAGTTGTCCCGGGAGACCATGAGCTCAAACTCGTCACAGAATGGAGCTTTTGTTTCCAAAAGTCAAACGTGTTTAATATTACTTATTACAGGAAAATATTAAAGTTATGGCGGGCTTACTGTGTTACAAATATATCACTGTTGTGTGTTGGGATCACTTGTTACAGATATACATCACTGTTGTGTGTTGGGATCACTTGTTACAGATATATTGGGATTACTTGTTACAGATATATATTACTGTTGTGTGTTGGGATCACTTGTTACAGATATATTGGGATTACTTGTTAAAGATATGTATTACTGTTGTGTGGCGGGATCACTTGTTACAGATATATTGGGATTACTTATTACAGATATATATTACTGTTGTGTGTTGGGATCACTTGTTACAGATATATATTACTGTTGTGTGGCGGGATCACTTGTTACAGATATATTGGGATTACTTGTTAAAGATATATATTACTGTTGTGTGTTGGGATCACTTGTTACAGATATATTGGGATTACTTGTTACAGATATATATTACTGTTGTGTGGCGGGAATACTTGTTACATATATATTGGGATTACTTGTTACAGATATATATTACTGTTGTGTGGCGGGATTGCTTGTTACAGATATATTGGGATTGCTTGTTACAGATATATATTACTGTTGTGTGGCGGGAATACTTGTTACATATATATTGGGATCACTTGTTACAGATATATATTACTGTTGTGTGGCGGGAATACTTGTTACAGATATATTGGGATTACTTATTACAGATATATATTACTGTTGTGTGGCGGGATCACTTGTTACAGATATATTGGGATTACTTGTTACAGATATATATTACTGTTGTGTGGCGGGAATACTTGTTACAGATATATTTGGATTACTTATTACAGATATATATTACTGTTGTGTGTTGGGATCACTTGTTACAGATATATTGGGATTACTTGTTACAGATATATATATTACTGTTGTGTGGCGGGATCACTTGTTACAGATATATTGGAATTGCTTGTTACAGATATATTGGGATTGCTTGTTACAGATATATTGGGATTACTTGTTACAGATATATTGGGATTGCTTGTTACAGATATATTGGGATTACTTGTTACAGATATATTGGAATTACTTGTTACAGATATATTGGAATTACTTGTTACAGATATATATTACTGTTGCGTGTTGGGATCACTTGTTACAGATATATTGGGATTGCTTGTTACAGATATATTGGGATTGCTTGTTACAGATATATATTACTGTTGTGTGGCGGGATCACTTGTTACAGATATATTGGGATTACTTGTTACAGATATACATTACTGCTGTATGTTGGGATTACGTGTTACAGATATATATCACTGTTGTGTGTTGGGATCACTTGTTACAGATGTATTAGGATTGCTTGTTACAGATATATATATATTACTGTTATGGCGGGATTACTATGTTACAAATATATATCACTGTTGTGCGGCGGGATTACTTGTTACAGATATATTGGGAGTACTTGTTATAGATATATATTACTGCTGTATGTTGTGATTACGTGTTACAGATATATATCACTGTTGTGTGTTGGGATTACTTGTTACAGATATATTGGGATTACTTGTTACAGATATATATCACTGTTGTGTGTTGGGATTACTTGTTACAGATATATTGGGATTACTTGTTAGAGATATATATTACTGTTGTGTGTTGGGATCACTTGTTACAGATATATTTGGATTACTTGTTACATATATATATTACTGTTGTGTGTTGGGATCACTTGTTACATATATATTGGGTTATTGTTACAGATATATATTACAGCTGTGTGTTGGGATCACGTGTTACTGATATATTGGGATAACTTGCTACATATATATATATATATATATATATATATATATATATATATATATATATATATTACTGTTGTGTGTTGGGATTACTTGTTACAGATATATATTACTGTTGCGAGTTGGGATCACTTGTTACAGATATATTGGGATTACTTGTTACAGATATATATCACTGTTGTGTGTTGGGATTACTTGTTACAGATATATTGGGATTACTTGTTAGATATATATATTACTGTTGTGCGTTGGGATCACTTGTTACAGATATATTGGGATTATTTATTACAGATATATATTACTGTTGTGTGTTGGGATCACTTGTTACAGATATATTGGGATTACATGTTACAGATATATATTATTGTTGTGTGTTGGGATCACTTGTTACAGATATATTGGGTTATTGTTACAGATATATATTACTGTTGTTTGTTGGGATCACGTGTTACAGATATATTGGGATTACTTGTTACAGATATATATTACCGTTGTGTGTTGGGATCACTTGTCAGAGATATATTGGGACTACTTGTAACAGATACATGTTACTGTTATGGCGGGATTACTGTGTTACAAATAGTGTTACAAGAGACATTGTTGTTGTTTATTTATAATATATTTATAATATACCTTGCAACAACGTATTTTTGTGGCAGACAGTATAATTTTTTCTCCCATCTGATGTATAATTTACTCTTTTTCTAGCATTTTCTGGGACAAGCAGAGGATATCAGAGAATGGGCAGTCCCTCATAATGAAAGAGCTCTCACGAACGAGTGATACTCTGCGCTGTGTTAGTGATGCCAAAGGTGTAAAACGAATGTAAGCAGGCGATAGGGCTGTGTCATTCATCATCATAGAATGTACATATAATACAGTAAACAATCGAGAATGATGTTGGTGCTTTGGCAACCAGATTTGATAGATGGGAATAATGTAGCCAACTGGTGCCATAATGTGTGGAGCGAGTTTGCAGTGTGTACGGTACTTGGTGCCAGAGAGCGAGGCACTGGCTGATGAAGACCGATCACCTCCTCTCCTGCTAATGTTCTACTTACCATAGTGGCACCACATTTCGTGTAATGTCAAACTCTGGACCAGTTTATCGATTTACAGGACATGACTTCTTCCTCAGTATCATGTCTCTAAAAGGGGCCACATGAAGTCTGTATATTCTATATTGATGTCAATACTTGTACACATTCATGTTTTGGTGTTTTGTTAATCAGTATTAGACTACACGTGTATATATCGACTAGTTTACTAGATTACTCATTGTAAACTTCGACATGGTTGTAGCGACCTAAATGGAGACTATATTCACATTTTCATTAGTGATATTTCAACTTGTAGTTTTGGATTTTACTGCAATGACAGTCTTCATTATTTAACGCAGTGTTTAAATTTCAGCCATGTAAGATCTAACTGTTTTTTTCTACAAATGGGTTTGTTAGTCGCCTCTTACGACAAGCATAGTCGCCTGTTACGGCGAGCACTGGTTGCTGAAGACCTATTCTACCCCGGATCTTCTACAATAAGGGATACAGTATATCAATTATATAGTTCGGTAATTCATTTTCGCTACGTACATTATGTTTAAAGGTTGTCGAATCTGTCCATGATTATTTTACTCAAACAATCGCTTTAGCAGCTTATAAGTGTCACATGTCATGCAAAAATTTAAGTTGTGTAAAAATGATGTTTTACTAGCTGAGTCGAGCCAAATAATTCTCATTCACATATGTATATTATTTAATTGTCGATGGTGTGTTGTTCTGAAAATTGTATCAATTATATGTGTTCTGGAGAGATTATCAAATAGGCATTGTGCTTGTTGACCAATCCAGGGTTTCATTAATGGAAATAAAGTGTCGTTAAAAGCATATCGACTAGAATACTTGAATAGGCATTCCGTGAAGCCTTGGGGTGGTAGACTTGTGATAAATGCAAATACATGCATGAATTATTAGACCCGCATCATGTTGTATATGTACACAATTGTCATTGAGAAATGAACGTGATTACAATGTTGACTAATGTGTCTTTTGCGGGTGTTATTTAGAATTTGATACGTGAAGATATTAACATCGAAGAACCTCCCGCTTAAGTCGTCGGCTACAGATGAGTGAGTGAGTTGGATTTTAAGCCGCTTTTGGCACTATTTCCCTATTATCACGGCGGGGGTCACCTTCCAATACTCAATATCAACCGATAATTTAAAAAATCACACTACAGTGTTTGTCCATATGTTTACTCTACCGAGATGATATATGCTTTATTTGAATCTATATAATGACTTTGTCTGTGACGTCATTGACAAGCTTAACATATTCTTTTTCGGTGAGTGAGTGAGTTTAACGCCGTTTTTAACTGTATTCCAGTTATATCACGGCGTGTCAGCTTAATGTGGAAGGAAATCCCGACGTGATGCAGGTCTCAGACATTTACCACTTCGGTGAAACCCATGAGCGCAGGTATGGTGCTGACAAACCTAGAAACATAATCGGAACGAACCGGGATTCGAACCCACAATCATAGGTTTCTGGCGTGCCCAAGGGACGCAACTCTGCACAGCGAATCACGACAGAAACATATGTAAAATGTTTAATTAAATAATGCTTTTTATTTCATTCGGGAACACCTGGTATCATCACTATCTGATATCGACCTCCTCCGTGGTCTGTATATGCTCTACTTATGGTTATAACGAACAACGTATATAACGAATTACAATTAGTGGTACTTTGAGTTCGTTATAACCGTAGTTTACTGTACACCGCCCGGAGAGCGGTGGTTTAAAAGATGGTACTTGTTGTCACCCTGTCTGGTGCTCGTCATAAAGGGGCTAAAACAAGGACTGGTCGGCACGTAGTTTGTATACTGTGTATCTGAGTGGGGTATTCATGTTAAACTGCGCCATGGTATCTCAGTGGGCAAGCACCATAAAATCAGTATTAGTCCGTTGTGGGTTATCTTACCTTAATTTTAAAGATAAATTTTTATGAAATTTGCATATGTTAAAAGTAATACCCGTCTTCCTGTCCGTTGACACCTGAAACCTTTGTCTATAGTTATTTCTGTGAACGATGTAGTGGTAAATGTACCTACTAAAATACAATCTACACTCAGTCTGTCAAAAACTCCCATTTTGACCAAGGTTTTGACAGTGTAACATGCTGTCAAAAACTTTGACGAATGTAAGCAGCCCAACTTGGACCAAGTTCTTTATCAAAGTTTTTGAAAGTGTAACGGAGGCTTCAGGAGGGCACCGGTGGCACAGTCGTCTAAGGTGCTGCAATTCGCCTCGATTATGTTTCTAGGTTTGTTAGCACCATACCCGTGGGTTTCACCATAGAGGTAAAGGTCTGAAATCCCGGAATACCATCCCCCCCCCCCCCCCCCCCCCCCCCCCCACCACACACACACACACACCACACACACCCCGAGGGAGGTCGGCAAATATGGCATCCACGGGTATTAGTAGGTTTCTGTACATAAGTGCAGCCTTAATAAGTCCGATTTAAGTGGTTAAGAATCCGTTATGTGCTGACAGGTGGCACGGGTGGCCCAGTCGTCCGAGGCGCCGCGATTCGCTGTGCAGAGTTGCGTCCCTTGGGCACGCAAGAAACCTATAACTGGAATACCGTTAAAAGCGGCCTTAAACCCAACTCACTCACTATCAAAATAATAGTTATACAAGTTATATAAGATAGCTACGCCAGTGTGCATTACCGCATGCAGTAACTGATGACGCCTAGCGATGACGTCATGGTTACCTGTGGAAGTCTGTTTCACCGTCGTACCGCCTCTGTAGGAGCGTCCATCCATCTTGACAGAACACCAGGGAGGTGTAGGCGCTGTGTTCAGGTTTGATCTGGTAGATACCCCTCTGTGAGTTCCCTCGGTCTAGAACGTCCTGACAATCTGTTGAAAACAAGGCGGAGAGGTCACTGCCACATGGGCATGTCTAGAGTGTTTTGCCAGCATGTCGATATATCGATTACCTTTGGCATTTCGAAAAGCATATTCCGCCAGGGGGCGGTTTGTTTTGCTTGTAATATAAGATTCGAATGATTCAGGGAGGATTAACCACAGGAACCCACATGACGGTTAGGTCTGCTATGTCACCATGTGCTTTCCGTCTGATGTCATCTTGTATTTAGTAAAGCGCCGATGTTTATAAACCTGCTGATAAAGCAAAATGAGCATTTGGCAAACGCTTGTCAGATGAACCCAGCGGACACGTTATATTCCTCTATCTAACGTTAAGCATATCAAACAGGGAGTGCCGGACAGAAGACCACATGAAAGAATCATTTCATGATTTAATCAGCGTATTCCCCCATTCAGCTAAAACATATTCGACTTACAAAACACATTGCTTACATCAATGGATAAGGTCATGTGTTTCTGAGTCTGAACTACAACACATGTTTGCCTTCATCCCAGGTTAACCACCCCGCGTCTTCATGGACGGCATGGCATGTGAGCTGGTCGGCATACACGTGTACAGTGTATGGTTAGGCATTTCCTTTGGGTGTCAGTCTACTTGATGCAAGTACGATAAAACAGAATAGAACAATAAAATTGCAAAATACGATAAAAAACGAGACATTTTCTTTTCGATGTCTAGAGCGACTTTGATGCTTGCAAACATATATAGTATTTGTGACGCTGTCCACAGCACGTGATCTTTCCAATACATGTTGGTTGGTTGGTTGGTTTGTTGTTTAACGCCGCACTCAGCGATATTCCAGCTATATGACGGCGGTCTGTAAATAATCGAGTCTGGGCCAGACAATCCAGTGATTAATACCATGAGCATCGATCCACGCAATTGGGATCGATGACATGGATCAACCAAGTCAGCGAGCCTGACCACCCGATCCCGTTAGTCGCCTTTTACGACAAGCATAGTCGCCTTTTACGGCAAGCATGGGGTGCTGAAGACCTATTCTAGCCCGGAATCTTCACGGGTCTCGAATACAATGTACTATATTTTTAAACTGTAACTTTTTTAAGATATGATCACGGTCCTGTGTTTAACATGTAAAACAGTGGAATCTATGTATTCGGAACCATCGAACAGGTATCGAGAGACAAGCCACTGGGTTATGGCTGTTTTCTTGAAAACATTCAGAATGAATACTTTTGCTTCATGTAAATTAGTCAATACTACTTCTTTGTTTGTTTGATTGTTGTTTAATGCGCTGTCAGCAATATATCAGATACATGACGGTGGTCTGTAAATAATCGAGTCTTGAACAGACAAGCCAGTGATTGACACCATGAGCATCGATCCACGCAATTGGGATACGATGACATGCATCAACCAAGTCAGCGATCCTGACCACCCGATCCAGTTAGTCGAATCTTAAATACGTGTGTACATTGGTCAGTGTCCAAATAACACGTCATCAATCGTGTTGCTATGGTAATGTGGTTGTGTGGTCAATATACAGAGCATGTTGTCCTAAGGATCACAATGACCTGAAGTTCTCTATTCTATGTAGTTAACATGTATGTAATAACATAGCCCTGGCCCTCTATTAGGGGGGCAGGATGTGGCTTCCAATTTTATAAATGTGGATTTCTAAATGGGGAATTACATTTGCAAACATACAGACATATACGTACTTTTATTAATATTAAATAATTCAAATCCGAGGAAAGACATTTAGTATGAAATAAGGCCAAAAGAGCAGATGACCCTCATCTATTGTTTTAAAACGGATAATGTTGGAGTGCACGTTGTAAGGGTGTGACCAAATTGATCCAAATGCTTTCCATTCTAATTCCTGAAATGGTAAATATTTGGCTGAAACAAATCGCTTGCAGATGGGAACAGGCATGGGTTTTTATCTTCTTGGGACAAGTAGTGTCTACATTTGTATTTGCAGTGAGTGAATAGTGTGTGTGTGTGTGTGTGTGTGTGTGTGTGTGTGTGTGTGTGTGTGCGTGCGTGCGTGTGTGTGTGTGTGTGTGTGTGTGTGCGTGCGTGCGTGTGTGTGTGTGTGTGTGTGTGTGGTGAGTGAGTGAGTGAGTGAGTGAGTGAGTGTCTCTCTCTCTCTCTCTCTGTGTGGTGAGTGAGTGAGTGAGTGAGTGAGTGAGTGAGTGTAAGTGTATGTGAGTGTGAGTGTGTGTGGTGAGTGAGTGAGTGAGTGAGTGTGTGTGTGTGTGTCTGTGTGTGTATGAGTGAGTGTGTGTGTGTATGAGTGAGTGTGTGTCTGAGTGTGAGTAAGTGAGTGAGTGAGTGAGTGTGGGTGTGTGTGTGTCTGTGTGTGAGTGTGTGTTTTATGAGAGAGAGAGTATGTGTGTGTGTGTGTGCATTTTATCTCCTTATTTAGCGGTAAAATGTATTTAATAATATGTATGCATTTGCATATGTATATGATATACTTTCTAACTACACGAATAATTGAAAAGAGGGCGAAATAGAAATGTAGCTCCAGCAAAGAATAATGATGATGGTTATGATTAAGGTGATTATAATCATGATATGATGTGTTTTATTATTATTGTGATTATGATTATAACGAATACGATTATTATTATTATTATTGTTGGTTATTATCACATCACCAGTATCATCAACAGCATCATCATCATACTCTTCATCAACAAGACTATTTACACTCAATGTACTTGTTCAGTGTTTTTGACAATATGAGTTCAGTCCATTCAGTCATACATACAGTAGGTTGCATTGTGTCGAAACCTTTAATGTGTTTGATGTGTCTTGGTGCAAGGGTCACGCATGTGAATATAACATCATTAGACGACTGCGTGGTTTTTGCTTTGGGCAGTGTATTTTGTGTGTTGTCCTTGGGTGATTTAACGGTTCCGAGTAATTGTGATGGGCGATAGCGCTCGCCTGGAGTCGCATTGCCATTTGAACACTCTCAGAGACAACACCGATTTCAATGAAATTATGATGAAAAAACATTAGTGATTATTGTTTAAAAACCTGTACTGACAATCATATCAACCGCCAATTCCACTTTCAAAAACAACGATAAAAACAGCGATACTAATACGTATACTCATACTAAATCTACTAATAATGACGAGAATAATCCTATCACTATGTTAATGTGATTTACAAAGTAGATAACTTCAAGTAAGTGAAATTTTAAGCATAAGACTTTTACATTTAAACAGTACTAGTATTCTCAGGCACGTCAGGCAAAGTATTGCGGCCACCAAGTACTAGCAGGTGGCAGCTGACTGGCGTCTTGCTGAGACGGCTTTTCTTTGTACATCTGTATATAATAACCTATTTTCATTAGCCTCCTATCATCCAATGTGGCATCTCGTTTCTATCATTGCAGCATTGGGATGTTAGGACGGGGCACGCTATTCACCATGCTAAATTCATATGCCGACTTCATGGAATCTATTTCTGGCATAAATGCTTGTGCGGATGTAAACGAGATTTAACGGGCAAAGAACTTCCCTTGGGGTGAAAACACGAGTCTGTACTTCCGTTCTGGGGGGTGAAGCTGGTAACGTGGAGGCTGACGGGGGACGCTGCTTAGGGGGACGGAGGGGAAATGCCTCAGAAGCGGTCGTAAAAGTGGTGTTGGGTTGCCCCGTGTTTGTTCATAGTGTAATGTACTCCATGATACTGTCAGAGGCAGGAAGCACTTGAACAATCGGATATTGAGTTACCATGGTCTTGAATGCATAACATTGTTACAACCTTGCTTGCTGGTCTTATTTGTTACAGGCTCACATGCATGTAAAGCATTGTTGTATCATTACATGCATATATTATTTGTTACAGGTTTACACGCATGTTAAGCATTGTTGTAGCATTACATGCATATATTATTTGTTACAGGTTTACATGCATGTAAAGCATTGTTGTATCATTACATGCATATATTATTTGTTACAGGTTTACACGCATGTTAAGCATTGTTGTAGCATTACATGCATATATTATTTGTTACAGGTTTACATGCATGTTAAGCATTGTTGTAGCATTACATGCATATATTATTTGTTACAGGTTTACATGCATGTTAAGCATTGTTGTAGCATTACATGCATATATTATTTGTTACAGGTTTACACGCATGTTAAGCATTGTTGTAGCATTACATGCATATATTATTTGTTACAGGTTTACACGCATATTAAGCATTGTTGTAGCATTACATGCATATATTATTTGTTACAGGGTTTCATGCATGTTAAGCATTGTTGTAGCATTACATGCATATATTATTTGTTACAGGGTTACATGCATGTTAAGCATTGTATGACGTTGTTACAACTTTAACCGACTGTCGAGCAATGTTGTAGCATTTCATACAAGTATTATTTGTTACAGGTTCACATGCACTATAACATTTTATTGCGTTGTTACAACTTAAAACGCAAGTTAAGCATTGTTTTAGCATTGTATGCATGCATTTCTTTGTAATAACTTGAAATGCACGTAAAGCATTGTTTTAGCATCGCGTGCATGTATTACTTTGTAATAAATTGAAATGCACGTTAAGCATTGTTTTAGCATCGCATGCATGTATTACTTTGTAATAACTTTAAATGCACGTTAAGAATTGTTTTAGCATCGCATGATTGTATTACTTTGTAAAAACTTTAAATGCACGTTAAGCATTGTTTTAGCATCGCATGCATGTATAACGTGTTAATAACTTTAAATGCACGTTAAGCATTGTTTTAGCATCGCATGCATGTATTACTTTGTAATAACTTTAAATGCACGTTAAGAATTGTTTTAGCATCGCCGTATGTATTATTTTGTTACATGTGTACAAGCATGTCCAGCAGTTTAGAAGGATTACACGTATCACAAGGAGTGAGTGAGTGAGTGAGTATTTTTGTACGTCGCTTTTAGCAATATTCCAGCAAAATAACGGCGGGGAACACCAAAAATAGTATAAGGAATGAAG